AAAAGCATCTTCTAAGCTTTTTTTTAATTAAAACACATCTGACAATAAACACATTTGACAATAAAATGTGTAAATTACATAAAAATGTGAATTTTATTTATTTTTAACTGATGTTCAGCTAATTCAAATTCTCATCTTACTAAGATGGCTAAATATCTCAGTATATATAATTCTAGATTTTGTTTTCCATCAAGATAACAGATGGTTGGTTCCAGTGTATGTAAAACTTTCTGCAAAATAATATTTCAATCCATGTTCTCGAAAATAATATTTCAATCCATGCTCACTAATGACTGAAGCGCATGGACAACTGTTTACACAAATTGGAACCAAAACAAGAGAAAAATCACTAAAAAAATGATTTTGCAGATATACACGTATATATGTCTAGAATTATACATAACCAAACATTCATATGCATTGTGCTGTCATTTATTAATTTTTCCTTTCATCTTATTTTTATTACATTTTATTGTACACAGACTGAGTTATTTTTTACATTCTACAAACGTTAAGAAAAAAAGCATACTGAAATAGAAACAATGTACTACTATTCGTTTTGTGATGGTTTTAAAAGAAAATTTTGAAAACCATTACAAATTTCAAAGTATTAACTTTATTGAGAACAAATGTATCTAAGAGTGAAGTTTTCAAATATTTTCTTTCAATGACATATTTTGGTTAAAAGATGGCGCTATAGACAATCTGTCATTTTATTAAAAAAATGCTTATCTTTCATCCTTGTTTATTTTCGCGTGTGTATTCGCAATTATCTTCTTCAAATGATAAATCGTTTTAAAGAACCTCCCGAAATACTTATAATATAAATACATGTTTGAAATATTCATTTCACCTGCTCTTTCTTTTAATTTAAAGAAAGATGCAATGCAATCGATTTTTATGACATTTTCAAACTTGGCAGTATTTTTTATCGTCTTTCATAAATATGGTCGTTACTCATATGTGCAGAAAAGTAAAACACATGTGCGCACACACATACACACAAAGATAAGAGCGAAGAATTCATGTACCTGTTTACTATATTTTATATTTCTTTAGAATTAAATTGGAATCAATATCTCACCAGAATATTTTTGCTGTATAATTCACATGAACACCTGTTGATTTCGTCCCTTTCCTTTTAGTGATTCTTATTTCGAAGGTTAATTTAATCATTAAGAATAAAATCCTTTTAATTGAAACAAATACAAAATTGAAGAATAACTCTACTTTCCAATTTATAACGTAAGATGAGGCTTTGTTTTTTTTACCGTACATTTACTGACTGCTACAGTTTTGTTTAAAGCGACGACGGGAGAGATTGACAACGTGTTTAATAAAGCTAAAGTATTCCAAGGCACCAGGTCGTTGTTGAATGTTGCTATGACTTATTTTAAGCCTTTTTCTTTACTAACAATAGAAAGATGATAATATGATCCATAGTCTTGTGACATTTCTGCAAAAGTATGCAATAGAAAGTATGACACTTCACTATAAGCTTAATATTAAAAGATGTTCCTTGAATAACTATAAAGAGACAAATATAGATTTTAATGTACTCGCAACCCACTCGTAGTAATCTTTTCATCATTATTAGCTTTTCTTCGGTGCTTTTTCATTGTAGATGCAAAAGTGAAATTCACTTTTTAATTAACTGCACTGACAAGAACCTTTTTCCTATTTTTTGCCTGCAATTGAAGAAGGGTTTAAACTATTTAAAATAGTGCAAATATTTTATTTTAATTTAACTGAATGGGAAAAGAAAGAAAAAGAAATAAATAGCTATTTTTCTACTGTGTATCAATATAATAAACTTTTTAAATGACCTGCCAGTTTTATTGCTTTTCCATTTTTATTTTATTTTATACTTTTTGTGGTTACTGATGAATTTATATATACATAAATACATCAGTAAGTCCATAGCCTAATGATAAAGGATGTTATTCTACATAATAAATAATTATTTTTCAAACAAATAAAATCTCCTTCGTAGTCGATACAATTAATTTAGTGGTGGTGAATATTAGACACAAAGATCAAATATATTACAATGAAACTTTCAGACCAAACTTCAGCTAATAATAATATCTTCGGCTGTTATATATTTCAAAATATTTATAGATTAGCTTTTTAATATGTAAATAATAATTTTTTTCGAAAATAATTGCATATTTCTTAAATGTAAGACAATGAATTTTCATTTGAACAAAAAAGGATATAAAAACATATGCTTAAAAATATGCTTCAAAAACAAGCATAATTTGTTTTTCGAAGCATATTTTTAAAAGTCATTTTAGAAGTATTAATTACAAAAACGGCATTGAAATATATTCAAGTAGTTTATTTGTAATAGTTTTCATAATTAAAAATTTAATGAGGATCATTTATTTTGAAGATAAAACATTTAAAGTATTTCAACAATTTAAAAATGGATATGCCTATAATTGTTTCGTTTTGTAATGTTATTTTTGGCTGAAAATCTCATCATTCGAAAAATCATGGGGTTTATAGGAAAAATACTTTCGTATATAACCATAAGACGTGGTGCAATGTTTCGCTTTTTTTTGGGTGGGGGGCTAGCTTTGATCCTTAATGGCTTCTCCACATTTGTAGCCTTGAACCAAACTAAGTTTAATAAATATTTGTTGGCAAGAGATAAGAATTGTAAATGTAAAGATATTTTAATATGTAATTCCTTAATATGACAGCATAAGTGAGTTATTAAAAAGGTTTTAATTCGCTAAAATGTACAAAAACAGTTTTATGGCTTCCCAGGCACATTTGTGTGTGTTTCATTATTACACTTTTTTTTACCTTTTGCAATAAAATTTGGTGAAAATAGATTTTTCTTAAATGTAAAAAAAACCACTTAAATTTATAGAATCACGAGACAGCTCTCGATCAAAAACAATTTTGTAAAGATTTTAAAATTATTTTTGCGAGATAAACAGGACAATTGTCTTTTTTGCAATACCAAAACCAAGTAAAATATTGCATTGGTTGGCAACTTTGCAGGTTTTTATAAAAATTATGTGTTAAATTCATAATTTCTCGAAAGAAAACATTTTCACGTTTATTTATTTTTACATACATTGCCAAAATATCATATATATAGCATCTGCAAAATAGCATCTTTATAGCATCTTCAAAAGAAATTTTAACAAGCGAAGTTGCATATTTTTAAAATAAAGAACTATTCACAGGGACTATAAAGGTGTGCTAAAACGTTCTCTGGACAACCCACGAGCCAAACATTTGGCAAAAAAATAAATGACATTGTTTTGGAAATGTCTTCATACTAGGGTTGAGAGCTTTTCAGTGGTGCTTTCGTATTGTTCAGAAAGTTTTTCAATAAAGTTTTATTAATTGACATTACTAAAAACATAAATGTATCAACAAAGGCATTAAAGTTAATGCTGTAAACATTTTTGTACTTATTCTTTTCCAGCTTTTTCATACTGCCCAAGCAGAATATATTAATTAATCACAAAACGAGAAAATTTTCTTTTTTCTCTTTTTCCGAAAAATAACTTGCTTTTAAGTAATCTTTTAATACTATTGTTTTCATATTAACCACGAAAATATTCTTATCAAAACATTTGTAAAATACTTTTTTAAGGAATAAGCATTTTATATGATTTGTAAAGTTGTAAAGTTAATTCTTTTTTGTATTATTCTTAGCCTATTTTTCGAATAATGTCAGAATATATAGGCAGGATACATTTTTAAGACGTTCAAGAATCACGTTCCTTTTTTATGTCCTTCTAAGCAAGACGTGATGAAATGTTTTTATTCGTCTTGTCATCAACTAAGACTTGTAAAATGGCGTAAACTTTATGGGGCACTTTACTTATTGATCTTTGTTGTGATAACTAAAAGACATTTTCAAAATGACGTTCTCATTTTGATTATCAGTAATCATAACGTTTCGGCAGGTTTTACCTTCCGGTCTTTATCATGTGTATTCGATAACATTCTGAGAATTTTTAAATTGAATTTTTATTCTATCCTAGGGATTAGATTAATCTCATTCCATTGTCCATGTGAGGGAATAATCTCGTATTTATCTTCTTCGTTAATTCAACATTCTGATGCCACTTCTATTTATTCAAATGAGCCAAAGTATGATTTCAGTAATCGATAAAGGCGTTGAACTAGTGACCATCAAGTAAACTGCATATAATTAAACAGCGTTTATATTTATTTTTATGTAAGAAAATCTGGTAATGGAATTTCCAAAAAATTGAAATGATACGCTTTCTTTGTTGACCACAGAATGTAATTTTATTTTAAATTTTACGGCACATGTTTATGAGAATCATGTTTTTCTTGAATTCTTATATTAAATTAAATGTTTAATCGGAAACAAGAGAAAAATATAATAAAGTAAAATTATATTAATAAAGTAAGTTTCTAATGTAATCAATAAAGTAAGTCTTTACGGTCTTTAATCTTTATTAATTATGACTGTAACACTTGCTGTCTTTAAATACAGTTGTCAAATATCAAAGGGGATATATTTCTGTTCCTAAGTTTTTCAAAATTAAAAAAAATGTTGTTTGAATATTATCGTAACCAATTCGACTCATTTAATCTATATTAAGATATTGAAGTGTACATTTCTTATAAGTCTATATAGGAAATTAAAAATGGAATAGCTCATTGCTTTTACTTATTTTCATATCAACCAAAAAAATAAATTTCCATTTATGCTTGCTATGTTAGGAAAGGAAAATTATTTAAACGATATTTGAAATTATTTATTAAAGAACTGGATATCATAATATCATAATGTTTCGAACTGTGGATCATTCGTTTGTGTACCAGATAAACGTGTAGTATTGTAAATTAAGGACGATTATGAAAGGAAAAATGTGGTATGATATATGCCTATTAATAATTTTTAATTTTTCGGAAACACAAAATGAATAAACCGAAATTTTATCAATACAAATTAGTTCTTTCAATTCACAATTTGTATTCATTTTAAAATTTATTTCATGCCCAGTCTCTCTCTCTCTCTCTCTCTCTCTCTCTCTCTCTCTCTCTCTCTCTCTCTCTCTCTCTTATTTTATTCTCAGAGCACGAAACGCGTCGGCTAAGATAAGCTTAACTTTGTCTTTATTCATGTGTGTGTGTCTGTGTGTGTGTTTCGCTGAATATGACAGACCAGGAAAATTTGATGCATGTTTTATTTTTAGTTTCTCCTGGTTTGGTGGGAGTAGGGGTGTGCAAAAATTGTTCGTATTGTCGATTGTCCCAAGTGCTTTTAGACAATTCTTTAGCTATTTTCAATACGGACAATTTTTTTCCTTATTTGTCATATTCAATAAAACATGTTTAAAAGAAAGGTTGCTGCCAAAATATACATTATTAATGTGTGTGTGTGTGTGTGTGTGTGTGTGTGTGTGTGTGTGTGTGTGTGTGTGTGTGTGTGTGTGTGTGTGTGTGTTAGTACCATGTCTTTTCTTAAATTAATTAGATGAGTTAAAACATTACGATTGTTATCTTTCTCAGTTGGTTGTGTCCATTCCATTATATCGTAACAACCTAATTTCTATAA